GTTGTTGGAGTGACGTCGATGAAGCGCAGCTGGATCGTTATGCCTGTCTACACTGCTGGTGTCTCTTTTAAACCCGATTTACCGCCTCTGTTTCTCTGCGTAACACTCGAAAGTTATGAAGTCCTAGTACTTTGCCGAAGAATTAACTCGTTGGTATTTTTGATTTTAATTAATGAAATAAAGGATTTTTGCCAATAATAAAAGAATACGGGGAGCACGTCTAAGCACTTTCACGGTCCAAAGGAGAATCATATTAAATTACAAAGAATAATTGAGCAAACGGGCTGAAAAATCCACGGTGCTGGCATCAATGAAAATGTGATTCACCACGTGCTCGGCGGTAAGGGAAAACAACATGAAGAAACATGCATATTTTCGAAATAATAACAAAAAATATATTTCAAAAATATGTGAAGTCCGCCAATCTGTTACATTCCTTTTTTTTCGTTCATTTAATAACCAATTATGTGTTAACGGTCTGTCAAAGTATTAACAGTTAAAACAAACAGATGATATTTAGCTACCAAGTTCCTTGCGATACTTCGAAAACGCATACAGATTCCTAATGGCGCGCTAAGAGCCAATTACCGACCGTTCATTGACAGAGTAAATGAAAATAAGAACATTAACGGCTTGGACCAACTCCAGAGCGTGAGCGTAATATGCAATACTCAAAGTAATATTCAACTATTTCGCTAACTATTTTTTAGGAGTCCTTCGAATAAAGAATCTTTTTTATATTAGAAATAGACTTCTTTCTACCGAGCAATTTGTTTGTTTTTTTTAATGTGAAAAGTTGCAAAACGAGCAGGCGGTTCACCTGACGTTAAGTGAATACCACCGCCGCTCATGGACATCAGCTACACACCATCCATTTACAGGACTTCACTTTCAGTGAGTTGATAATGAAATAAAATGGGAAGAAAAATCAAAAAACAGTATCACATAAAGCAATCACTTTTTGAAAAGATTTTCTTTATATTGCCAAATGTGCATAGAGTTATAGCGTTTAGTAAATATTAAAGCACTCAAACTCCTTTGTGCCCTTACCGAAGTTGAAATTGTAATAGCCAGAGTAGTAACTAAGCTATTGAATTCGCGGGTCGCGCGTTCAATTCCCATTTGCGAACCCGTTGTGTGTGACCCACAGCAAGTTGTATCGTATCTGTCTGTTCGAGTTTGTACATATAAAAAGTCGTTAATGTTACACAGTAAGGGTAATAAAAATGTTAAAGTTACAGCGCCATCTAGCGGAACCGCGCATTAACTGTTTGAATTTTCACACGTAGCCGCCACGTGTATGTAATAGGTCTCAGCATTGTCCGCAGATAATAAAGTAACACCTTCCATTGCGATAAACGGCCACTCGTGGACCGTTTGGCTGAATAAATAAAGCGGAACGGAAACCCGTAACAATTGGGATTGTTCCCAGTGCAGAGCGCCAGTGCCAAGTCAAACAAATCCTCAGTTGGCTAAGCGATCTACCCGCTGCTGTTTAGACGCTTGATACAGACATGGCTTGTTTAAACACCGAACGCCGCTCCAATTCGGGTTCTCGGATCTGACGGGTTGTTTAGTATCACCACGCCAGAGGTTAAGGATCTAAGTAACAGTCCGGTCAGCGGTACAATGACTTCTAGGACGTATTTTATGACGATTCATGTATTGACGAGTCGATTTTTTTTATTAAAAAAGAAACAAAACCGACCTCAAATATCTCGCTCTGTATTCATTTCATAATTGATTTTCAGGAGTTCCCTGAGTATCTCCGGAGCCCGAGATCAAATACCAATGAAATTGATTCAGCTTTCAAATAAAAAAATAATCATCAAAATCACGGTTCACTTAGTCGAAGGTTACAAACATTAAAAAATACAAAAAAATTGAGAAACTCCTCCTTTTTTGAGGTCGATGAAAACCCGTTTTCGCAACAATGCACCTTGGTTCATCCCGTTTGTGCCTGTATCTTGCGCCAGGTCTTCAAGAGACCTGGCTTTTACGTATCGGCCACGCAGCAGCCTCGCCTGTTGCACGAATGGGCAGGCCCGTCCGGGTAAGTACCACGACCCCACAGAAGACCAGCGTAAAGTGGAAGTATGACAAATACTTTCGCGTTTCGTCTGGTGAGTGAGGTAGCCGAAGCCCAATTTTCAAAAGGTTGTCAACGCATCTGCAACCCTCGGGTGTAGCAGATGTCCATGGGCGGCGGTATTCACTTACCATCAGGTGAAACGTCTGCTCGTTTGGCAACTTTTCACTTAAAAAAAAAATCTATAATATGTAAATATTTATAAAAGAATAGGCATTGATTTCTTAATTTTACGCGGTTATTATAATTTGTGAAATGAAACTCATTTTACGTCCATGATTACGGGACAGAGGACTGACTACACGGCGACCATGAACGCCGCAGAAGGTTCGAAACGCCGGGAACTTAAAAATGTAATTGAACGCGATAACATCCGTAAAATAGTTTCATTTCACGAATGAAAAGATTTTTAAGTAGTTACAGTGGGTAGTGTCTAGTACCCACAGTATGAGAATTGCTTATTTCGCGACCAGAGAATGTTTATTTACAATACTTATTTATTTAATGTTTTCAATTTTTGTATGTTTCATCTTAAGCCGAAATGATGTCTTCCTCGAGCTAGTCACAGTCTATATTTTATGTATAAAGTAAGCGACTCCCTTGCACTTCAATGATCTTCAAATACATTGTGCCTCGTCAATCGGTAGCGAAGGCCTTACATGTTGGCAACTTCAACAAAAGTTTGATGGGCAAGTTTTTGGAAGGCACATTGTCTCTGAGACAACCCTCAAACTGTAGCGTACAAACCAATGGTATTTAATAATATAGAAGACGTCATGATGTCTATACAGCGCGACGATTAAAAATTGTTGCTTTACATTATAAATGACATATATAAGTAAATTTATGACGACCCGAATGGCGTAGTGGGTAGTGTACCTGTCTCCTGCACCTTAGGGTATGGGTTCAAACCCCACTAATGGAAAAATATTGTGTGATAACTATGTTTATGTTTTTCTAGTGCCTTGGTGTTTGTACAATAGAATATGTATTTATTTACAAAGAATAGTATGTTTAAGTATGTTTATCAGTTATCGTGTACCCATAGTATAAGCGTTGCTTAGTTTGGGACTAGATAATGTTGTGTAAATGTCCTAAAAAAATATTAGCTAGTAGTCTATGGAACTGTAATCTAATTACACTAATTGGTGTTATTTAAGAGCCACAGTATCGCTGCGCTAGTGCCATATCTTCGTATTTGTATATAATATCGTTGCTACAATCGACAAAATCTTTTTCTTTTTTATCTTGTGATTTTTACTCACTATCCGAAAAGATGAGTAGATATTTTCGTTTATTTGTGTACGTAAGATATGCAGTTGAACATTCTATATTTAATTTGGTCCCCCATTCTCGCAATGAACAAAAACTTTGGGAATCATTTCCGTATATTGTCTCATACTAGAATGCTCGCGCAAAAACTTAGCAAGTGTCTTTAAATATTTATAAGCATCTCTTGAAGAAAGTGGCGTAGTTTTGAGTTTACGCCTTCTTTCCCCACGTACCCATACGACCTAGAAACCTATTTCACGAGGGTTATGTTGACACGAATTCGACTATATGACCGAATATTTAAACACCAGAATTTATTTCTTAATCATTAAACAAGTACTTTTTATCGCATTTTTAATAGAGTGACCGTTTAATACCTCTATGTTTTCGCACTGAAATTTGACATGTTCTTCTTATTGGAATGAAATTACTAATGAATTGCTAAAGAGGTTACAAAAAGGACTGTTCAAAGTGTCTAAATCATCCCCTACGGAGATGATTAGATCGATTATAAATAACGTCCAGGAAAAAGGACCAATGTCCTGGATCGACTAGTGAATTCGCCGCTGTAGTAATCATCGTCGTTGTCGTCGGCGTTTACACAAGATGTTATGGCTAGTTATAAATCTATACATCTATACAGATAAATAAAATTGGAGTGTCTGTTTGTAATAATAAAATAACCGCTTTTTATTAAATGCACATTTTTACAATTTTTGTCTGTCTATCTGTCTGTTTGTTCCGGCTAATTTTTAAAACGCCTGGACCTTGGCAGATAGCTGATGTAATAAGGAGTAACTTAGGCTTGTTTTATTTTAGAAATTATATTTATTTTAAATTCTAACCGGACGAAGTCCCCGCGACTTTTTTCAACAAGTTTGCTATTTTTTTTTTGGGCGATAAGGTGGAAATTATGTAATAGGTCCATAGACATCCGCAGTACTTGCAGTAGATGTGTTGACAACGTTTACGTCTGGCCATTCGCCACGATACTATCTGCTGCGTGATCTTATTGTAAAACAGGATACAAATGAAATCTTTTTCTTATAAAACTTTCATTTCATACGGGGATAGCTAACCGTTAGCCAACTCCTTTATAAATAAACATTCAAGCAAGCAAGGGCAGCATTCAGCAGTGATTGGCTTCAATGGATTACTTTTTGTGGCTAATGCCTTATCGCTTAAGGTAACCGTCGCCCATTGACATTTGCAACACCCGTAGGGTTGCGGATGCATCGCCACCTTTGACTAAAATGGGCCCCGACTACCTCACTCACCAGGCTAAATGCAGAAGTATAACACTTCCACCTCACTCAGGTCTTCTGTGAGGTCATGTTACCGTGCAACAGCGAATAATGTTTCGAGGTCCTTTCACAGCTTCTTTCCTTTTATTTCTTTTAAAAAACGTCGCCCTTACTTTAGGAGGACATTATCCTGTGTTGTAAGGACTATTTACAAACATAAATTTCACGTGGACAAGCACCCAGATGCGAAACAGCTATCTGTGGGTCACACAAATAGTTGTCCCGTGTGGGTGTCGAACCCACGACCCGCGACGCCGAGGCCGATACCTTAGCAACTGCGCCACGGAGTCATCCTTTCCTTACCGGCTAAACGCACCGTTTCCAGGTACGGAGACATGGTACCGGGCACCATTGCCGGCAAGATAGTGGGCGGCGTGTGCTCGCTGTCCGGGGTGCTGGTGATAGCGCTGCCCGTGCCCGTCATCGTGTCCAACTTCTCCAGGATCTACCACCAAAACCAGCGCGCCGACAAGAGGAAGGCGCAGAGGGTACGGAACCATTTTCATTTGAACTTCCCAAGGATTGTTTTGTGGGCTACGTGTGCATGCATCTAAGTTAATGGCTCGCGGTCTTCAAATCTTCAAATACTTTTGCTACGTAATAGCATTGTGATTAAGAAGATATCATCAAATGACATCATTTACGACTTGCTGTATTGTTGTTAAGTTGTACCCCTTTGAACGATGAATATTTTATCGTAATTGTTTCAATCTTTGATAGTAAACGGGTGCTGTTAATTAAGGTTTCTTCATTTTAGTGAATGTTTATTGCATTTAAAGCATTGTCTTGCATTAAAATATGTAGAAATGAAATATGTAGAATATGTTGCATTCAATAGAAATTGTCAGCCTAACGAAAAGTAGATCAGAAGATAGTAATGCTACGTGGAATATTAGCAATGGGACATTAGATTGTGTGTTTACTTCAGTATTTTGCACAGATAATTTTTCCAATTTTCCAGGCTTTTCAAAATCACTATTAATGGTGACTTACCGCTGGTCACATCTTGGAGGTCACACCTGGGACTAAAACAAGGTGGACAAAACGTAGATACCATTTTCTGTCTACCTATTTTGCTCAAAGTATGCAAGGTCTTCTCATTTTCGCAACCTCCATTTACACAGCGCAATAAATAAGCAAAAATATTTTATAGCCCATCAGTGTTGGAGGCAACTTTACGGATAATAACTACTAGCGTAGAACATCCATTTGTTTTTGTGTTTGTTAATATAAAAGTTCCAAAAGTTGTCGCGTGACTTTTCCGACCAGTCTACTAGCCTCGCTCTCTATTCAGACTATATACTATGTGTATAAAATAATAAGCCTATTGCCATAGAACAATTAATATAATGGACCAAAGAAATAATGTTGTTCTAAGGCCTCCTCTGTACAGAGGGTATTAGGGCATAGTATTAGGGTAGTGTCTTCGAAATGTGTGTACATTTTTGTTATTATTTCGGGAATATGTAGGTTTCGTCACGGTGTTTTCCTTCACCACTGAGCATGTCAAGCACATTTAGCACTTAAAATTGACTATTTAATTGGTCCTGGCGCCTGGATTTGAACTCCGTTAGCAACTATTTAAATGATAACACACCCTTATTAGGAAATTATTTGATCGGTCCAGGCTCTTCCAAGTGGACTTCAATACATGTAAACATGTTTGTTGTCAAATGATGGTTAAAAATTATCCCGCTGAGTTTCTTTCGCCGGATCTTCTCAGGCCAATGACTTTTACGTTTTGACAATCAATAAGTAACTTTAAAGCTTCTATTACTACATGGTATAAAACAAAGCCGTCCCACTGTATGTTTGTCCCGATGTATGTTTAGATCTTTAAAACTAAGCAACAGATCTTGGTGCGGTTTCATTTACTAAATAGGGTGATTTAAGAGGAAGGTTTAAATGTACGACACATTAGCTGCTGCCCGCGACTACGTCTGCGTAGAATAGGCTGAAGGCGTAACATTTAGACAGAAAAGGAAGACAGATATACACAAAAATATGTATATAAATTATAAACTATGTCTTATTCTGATGTATAAGCTATATTATTGTAAAGTTTCATCAAAGTCTATTAAGTAATATTTGCGTGAAAGAGTAACAAACATCCATCCATACATACAAACTTTCACCTTTATAATATTATATAGTAAGGATTACTTGGCGGGTCGCTAATGTTGAATAAAGATATTTGAATTTGTCTCAAAACCTCCCCTGGGTTTGCAGAAAGCGCGCCTCGCACGCATCAGGATCGCGAAGGCGTCTTCAGGCGCGGCGTTCGTGTCCAAGAAGAAGGCGGCGGAGGCGCGTCTCGCCGCCCAGGAGTCCGGAGTGGAACTGGACGACGCCGGCAGGGACGAGGACATTTTCGAGTTGCAGCATCACCATTTGCTGCGCTGCTTGGAACGCACGACCGTTCGTATACGCTGTTTCATCTTAGACACGTTCTGGACGGTATCACGTTTTTATATGATGGCAAGCAAGCGGGCCGTTCACCTGAGGTTTAGTAGGTACCGTCATCCGTGCTATCTACGACACCGGATACATGGGCAAACTATTTAATAGTTGGCCCGGTTGATCCACTCATCAAACGAAACGCGGAAGTCTGTTCTTATATTTCACACCGGTCTCATGCGAGCCCGTGGTACTTTCTCGGGCCTGCCGTTCCGTGCAACAGCAAGAGACTGCTACCACGACAACAAGTAGTAGTTGACTTAGCAAAGTTCGGCTAAGCTAAGCCATCATTAACGACGTCATAAGCACACAATGACAGTCTATCGGCCACGTAAACGAGATAATACGTGTAGTGTTCATAATGACGACGTTACTGGACTTTTGTAATGAAGAAATAGACTCCCTACCGCCCATCAGCAGGTAGAGAGGTATCTCGCAATGGAACTTAAACACACCAAAGCCCTTCTGATTCAAATCTCGGATATCGTCTGTGTTGTTGTAATATAACTTTGATAACCTAAACTCTCTACAATCGTTGCCGCATAACTTTGTGATGCCCGGTTCCTATATTCAACGAACAGCCGTTAGTTACGTAGCTTCATAACTTTCATAACGATTTGTTGATAAAAGGCGTGTACGCCCGGCTCCTATATTAACAAAATGAGGCCTTTTCCTTACGAGCCGTGGCATTACCTACGGAAAGTGAGTTACTGGCGATCCTTTAATCTACAAGTCGTTATGGAAATTACGATGCTATGTAACGAATGCACGTTCGTTGAATATAGGAACCGGGCATGAGTAGCGTAGAGGGAATATTTTTATATTGGTTTATTGTAGTCGATAGCGGTCTTATTTCCTCAACTGTCAACTGTCAAAATGTAATCCATAGGTAACATTGACAATATTAATCTATTATACTTTCATGTATTTATTTATGTTAATTATATATATTATATATTTATTTATGTTTATGTATGTTTATTATAATTTTGTTATTATTAAGTAAGTTTATTAAGCAAACCACCTTCCTTGTACTAAGGTTGTCTGGAAGTGATCGCTCTTTAGCGATAAGACCGCCTTATTGTACCTAGCTTTTAAGACTTATTTTATATGAACTGTATAAAACTTTTTGTGGTGTACAATAAAGTATATATAATAATAATAATATAATAATGTTTACAGCACTGTGTCACAATGGCCCGGATCTCTACCGTTACGTATTCCCAACATTTCAGGACCGCGAATTCGTCGAGATGGAGAATCCTTTCAACGGTGCGGCGAAGAGGCCCGGATCGCCGTCGCCGCTTGCGTCCCCCGCGCACTCGGGGCGCGCCCCGGCGTTGCTCGCCTGCTGCGCTCGATGCGGCTGCTGCCCGCAGAAGTACCAGGTAGCTTGAGCTGGTTGGCGGATCCTTCAGTAGATTTCTATGCTTTATAACGTTCGAGCATTAGCAATTATTAGAGGGGTCAATTAGTAATTGACTACATAAGTTTTAAGTTGGAGTAGCAACGGATTTTGTTTCTAAACGACGATCACAGAACGCACATGAGGGAGTCATTTGCATGTGGTATATATTTGAAGTATTATTTTAAGAAGAGATACTTTTGGAATGAGATAGAATGAAGAGAATCAAGTCAAAATATTTATTAAGTTATTAAGAATTTCATTTGTTAAAATAGTCAATAACACTTCACGGTATTGTTAATTAATACTATTTAAATAGTCAATGTGCCTTATTTCTTTTTGAGAAAACGCCTAATCAAGCAAGCAACGCGTAATTCAGCAATGCAAATTTCATCAGTTTATTCAGACAGCGATTCATAGGAAATTGGACAGGACCTATCATTAGCACCTTTGAACGCTACAGGATTCTCTTTCACTGGCGTTAAATTTCAATGATCCCGACCAAGATGCGGTTGTTAATTAATAGGTATTGTTAAACATTGTAGATGTATTTGTAAATAGGTTTCGTAGCGCGTAGCTCGTAGCGCGTAGCTGCTGAAACCGCGCTACGATTCCAAACGAAATACGTTTCTTCGGCGGCGTTAAACTTTATGATTCATGTAAATTGGATTTACATATTATTATTTTGAACAGAGCGATGTTTTCACAACAGAAGCGAGGTCGTTCCGTAAGGTGCATCAGTCCGATAGGACTCGCCACGTGCCCGCGTCGTGAGGTATACAAAAGTCACAGCACTGAATCGTTGTTAAAAACAATTACGTATAGATCGTTTCTATGGCCGATAATTTAACATCCAAAGTATCAACTGCTAGGTATACCACATAAATGCTTAAGTATAGAGTACAATCGAGCTGTAAAGTGTCAATATAAAACATGTTTAGGTGCGCTCAGTACATTTAAAACTTAAAGGCCATAGGAATAGATCCCCATTAGCAATACGTAATTGCATTCCCTGTTGTCGCTTCGCAAGTGTGGTTACGACGTCTTGCTAGATATCCGCTAACTGTCCCTTCCGTGCTTGCCGGGAATACGGCGGGAGCAACGCTTTCTGCTGACGTCAGCACAAGTTTTATGAGCGCGCAAGGTGCTATGTACACGTAACTCTCACGATTACAACCCGATTTTGATATGGGCACCAAATGACTTGCTACCTTATGCCCCCCATAACCTGCAACAAGACATATATATGTAACGGTTTAGTGAGTTATTCTTATGTATTTGTACGGATTAATATAAGCTGTAGGTAAGTGAGAAAACTTCACAAAAACTCTCTCTCTCTCTCTCTATTATTATATATTCCTTTATTTTAATTTATATAAATTATGTTATATTTACTATATAACGGACCTAAACATAAGGTAAATTATTCATACAACGCATATACATATATACGTATGAATATATAAATTATCATAGTAGTTTATCATATCATACCTATGCATATTATATTCTTTTTTAAGTTTTTAAAAATAGTTTGCTATGATTTGGTAATTTCAGCGCTCACATATCTACACATTTTGTTCTAACACAACACTCTACATTTCAACGATCGAAAACTCTATCGCGACTCTACTTATATTTTAACACCTCGTACTTGAACGAGTGCCCAGTAAACGGGCGGTCTGTTGTTGCATTTAACGAATGTTCGGTATCCAATTGGCTCTGACAGGTCCTGCTATTAGACCCGGGTAGGAAAGGCCGCGCGCGGGGAAATCGCCGGTACACTGGGACCTCCCGACCCTCAGACACGTCTGTGTCGGCCGCGCCAAGTGAAGACCCCCTACCAGTACGTCCCCCCTACGTTACCATGCAGCGTTACCAACGATAGATTGACCGACTTCCGTCCGCGTATCCCAGTTCGATTTTGTTGCCTTGCATACGAGACGAGAGAGATGCATCGAACCGATTTCGTGTAGATGGGTAATGCGCCTTAGGGTATTACTGCGGTACACGCTGCGTGGTCACGGTCGGTGGTAAAAATGATGTATTTGAGGCTTTCTATGTCTGCAGGGTGTTGGCTGCTAAACTATGTTGCTTACATAATTACAGATAATGTAAGATCTCAATGTCTCAGTGTATTTATTTCGTAAGCTTACGCTGTGGCAAAGCTGATGCGCGACGCGTTGTATGTACTGTCGTAAATGTGAGTCTGTATATTGTATACGTTTATGTGTTATATTATATAAGTATCCTTGTAATGTATATTATTGCGTCGAATTATTCCGAACGTGACCCGAGTGCAAATTGTAATAATCTAAAATAGAAAAATATTAGCGTTAATTTAAAAATATTCCGATTTAAAGCTTAACAAAAATATTCAATTTGTATCTATTGACGTTATCACTCGGATGCGAATAATTCGATCTGTATAAATAGTAGATCCAAGAGTGTTGTAACCGTATATATCGGAGGATGTCATATTTTAGAATATATCTATGTGTTTATGTGTACATTATTTACATATTATACGAAAACAACAAACTGTCAAACGTAATGCCAACACACTGCACACATGAGTAGCATTGGCAGATCACAGAAAACGTCCAGAAAGTCAATTGATGAACTCGATATTTAACGGTGAATAAACAATGCCTGGTTTGACTTAACGTTTACTTCGAATAACACATCAATACCAGTCTGACTCGATCTCGAGAAATCGAGTTGAATATTACTCGGTTTCACTTGGCCACATATTCAGATACAGATACAGAAACGAATCGACATAACACACTAATGGGTCTACATTTTACCGACAATTGGCATGCTTTATGCACACTTTTATATCTCCCACCCATAACACTTCAGCTACTTACCCACCTTTACATTCTCACATTTCATTATTACCCCTTTCTCTTTTATTATACCGTTCCCTTTTTTCAATGGGATCTTTTCGGTGCTCTATAGCTTCAATGACTGCGCTTGAGCCTCTGAAAGGTTCCCTAAGAGATGGGTGATGTTAACAAATAGAATTCCATCCGTTGAATCTTATGTATAAAAGAAAAAACGTAATTCATTACCCGGATCACAGTTGGAAATGCTAAATGTTCCCGTTTAACCTTCTTATGTAATTGTTACGAGTATAAATTTCACCCTTTAAATTTGAAGCATACATTTGGAATCCAATGATGTTGCGCCGACGATGAAGGTGACCACTGATTCGGTGATTTGTGCTTCCACAGCAAGCCTGCGGCAAATACATTCCAGCGGGAGGCACGGTCCAGGGCAACCAGACTGGTGTTGCAATGGACGGGACTTATCTCGTGGAGGCGTCCTTCTAGGACCCGACCTCCAGCGCTCACGTTGAGAGCTATGTGTGAGGACGGTCGACGGCATCGTGCTTGACAGTGACGCGCCGGCGCAAGTAAATAGAATGTTCCGCAGTGCTAAGACAATGACTCGGGGCCCATACGCCCTGACAATTACTAGGTTACGAATACTAAAAGTTAAAGGTCTTGTAAATCTAACACAATACTGCCTAACATAATTGAGATATCATATTTGTAATGTAATCGTGGACACGTTCCTTATGGCGGCGCAGACGAGGCTACAGTTGAGGCTCGGCAAGATCCATCGGAATGAGAATAATTGGACGTCCACTTCGTAAATTACTGACGGCATAGTTATAATGGATGCAGTATTAGATAATTTTTTAGTAATTAATGTATTATCAAACGATCGGATGAAGAAGCGAAGAGTTCACGGCGCTGGAACCTTGCGGAGGTAAGCGTAAGAAAAAGACAAAATATTATCAAATTTCTCTGTAGTCAATAGTTCTCATATCAATTCTAGGTCAGTTAGTGATGGATGTACTATTAAAAAACTCAATGTTTCCACGACCTCTACATCCCTGTTTAAGTCTCCCAATCTTCATCTATTCCCTTTCACATCCACTAGTACTCTAGTGCCTTCATGATGAACAAATATTAATAATCATTATTAAACAGTTACTCTGTGTTAGTGAGCTTTAGAATTTAGATAATCGTCTATTAAAAGTTTCGATTGTGTGGCGGATTAGGTGTTGGAATTAATGTTCTGGAATTAGATGTACTGTGGGAACTTTCGGTGAAGATAAAATGCCAGTGGCCAGGCTAAATGAACTATATAATGATGTTTTCATATGTAATACATTGAGTTACATTAGTGTTTTCATATATATTTCATATATATACATAAGTGATTTAACCTATATAATCAGTGCTGCCAATAGTATGTGCTGTCTTAATTAAGCCGTACTCATTCGTCCGCTGATGGTTGGTAATAAGGCAACCGTGTCGATTGTTGATACAATTAATTATCGTGAGATAGAAGGTACCTGTATGGTACTCTCTGTCATGGTCAACTTATGAAATTAACCGTTTACAATGGATATAGCTCTGACGTCATAGATGAATTTATGTGGTTAACTATAGATTTATTCAAAGTAAATGATAATGTTTCTAGTGTTAAGTGTACCGTCACGCGGCCTGTGCGTGGGGCGCGTAGTGTTAATAAACATAGTAATTCATTTCTAAAACCGAATTAGATGTTAATATTCTATTACATAATTACGCTCTAATTCCTATTTGTCTTGTGAGTAATAACCGATGGTTTATGGTGGATGTGGGCAATATGTTGTTCTAAGGTTCGATTTCCGATTTGAAAACTTCGATAATCTCTTCTCTCTCTAATGTATAGGATAACGGTCGAGTGTTGTATATACTGTTTGTTTTTAATCTTATCCTGTGATCCAATGGCTGTAGTGATATATGTTACGTTAAATTAATATGTATGTATGTTCATATCCCATTTTACGAATGTTGTTCGTTATATATCCATATTGTATTGTATATTTAGATTTAGATTAATTAATTTAATCATATTATTTTACTTTTGTACATTAAATTTGTTATTAATAATCGTGTAAGTAAATCCAAATCATTGAGCGGTAAATTGCTTATTTTTAAAATTTGTCTAAAACAGTTCTGAAGATTGTATTTGATTCAAACAAAAACTATTCTATCTTCGTTTCCAAATCGACATATTCTACATTATTAACGATAAATGTTGTTTAGGCATGTGCGAAATTTCTTTGTCTCATCGCTTAGTATACTGATAGGTGAATATAATGTTTACTTTAAAATAGATTGTAATTCTATTAAAATACAACAATAACTTATGGGTTATCCAAATCACGGTTAATACCGTACTAGCCGACAATCAAATGGTGCGGTTGAATGGAATTAATATATAAATACATAATTATACTATATAAAAAAAATACTAATTTTAAAAAGTGTTCTAAATAGACAATGTGAAATTAATATTATAATGCAGTTAACTAGTGGAATGGATGATGTGTCTTTGGACCAAATTGATGGGAATAAGCCTTTGTTTAGTGAAAGTTCGGACTTGTGACTATTGCCTGTCGAATATGGAGCGAGTTTTTTTTAGTTTATTTTCCTCTTACTATAATAAGCATCCCAGAAAACGTCAAACTGGGATCAGAATTACAGATTCAAATTAATGCAATTCTCCCTTGTCAGATTTACCTCATTCCAAGAGATTTTATGTTCCTTAAATAGGTTATAAAAGGAGTGGTGTCTGAAGATCTCTTGGACGTCACGATTGATGGAAACAACTAATCATTAAAAATGGCATTTCAAAAATTTTGAAAAACTTTTGTATGTAACTTGTCTTGGGTATTGTAAATATAACTTAAAGGGATTATTTTTTTTATAAGCCCGAACCTTAAATTATTTAAACTTCGGAATATTTTGACTACCTAGAAATATCAGAAATTTTAAAACAAAGTTTTAGCTATAAACTAAGTAAAAATATCTTTTCTCAATGTGTAGTTTAAGCGGGAGGGTTTTCATGATTCAAAGTCAAAGTCAAAGTCAAAGTCAAGTTTAAATATTTCGCCTGGTTGTGGCAATGAAATAAAAGTAAAGTGAATGTGAAATATACACAAAATTATTATTAATTTAACTTTTCAAATTCTGTTATGTAATGAATCCTTGTTTGACAAAACAATGTGAAACATTTCTACAAAAAAAAAAACCGCTAGGATCATTGTCATTTAAAGCTTCTTTTTTCTTAATATAACACAACACTTCGCCTCTTTTACAAATCGATTAAACTATTATGTTTGGAAAGGTCACTAATTCTGACGATGTAACCATAATTAATATTACTACCCAATACCTGTGTTAAAAGTGGAAGACAGAAATCGCTGCTAAACTAATTATTATTTGCTCTTACGTTGAAACGTTTAAGCTTTTTGTTTTATGTCAAAAGTTTCCAAGCGAGCAGACGGTTCACCTGATGTTAAGTGAATACCGCCGCCCATGGTCATCTGCTACATCCGAGAGTTCCAGGTGCGTTGACGACCATTTGAAAATTGGGCTCCGGCCACCTCACTCACCAGACGAAACGCGTAGTAAACAGTAAAGTATTATACTTTCACTTTACGCCGATATTCTGCGAGGTCGTGGTACTTACCCGGACGAGCCTGCCCATACGTGCAAAAGCCGAGCCTGCTGCATGGCCCTACCACCGTAAAATTAATTATTATTACGTTATTTTATGGTCTTATAATAAATGACACATTAATCAACTTGATCTTGGCTCGACAGGTAATAATAAAGTTGCAAAGGTTCGACCGTGAAATGACATCGTCCGTTACGCCATCTATGATCTATTAGCCGCGAAAAATCAACGCCTTTATATTACAATAAATGTTTCATAAAAGTTTATTTTAATTACGAATTAATTTGCAAAATGCTTATATTATTTTTCTGAGTCATTAATTGTGCACCAGTTTCTGACTAATATGTTTAATAATACGATTTTGTGCGCTAAATCTTGCTTCTGAACTAAGCTCGTTCTAATTTGTTTAACAGTTTTTGCTTTAATAAATGTTATATGTTGAGATAGTTTGTTCAACATTTGTTGTTATTTATTCGTTATTGTTAATGATTTGTATAATCTAGCTTAGTATTTTTTGGTAAAGCAGTACCTAATACTGTTAAAAAGCGGTTGCTCCGCTTCTCAGCGAGGTCTACCCAAATCGCGCGGCGCCTGACATTAAAATTAACTACGTTAACTGTTTTTTCATAAAAGGCAAGAGAAACATAAACGGTCAATAAGAGCTAATAAGAATAAAACATTTAAGGCAAATAAATTCCATGAAGCTCCAAGCCATAATCGACAGTGACCGTTATATATGTATTTGTTTTTAAGGTCTGAATTTGCGAGTTTCAAGGTATGCCTAGATGAGGCTGCCATAGTTTTCAGATATTTCTGTCTGTCTATTGCACTAATAATAATTAACTGGTGAATATTTTGTCCTGGTGCTTACGATGCTGCTACGAAGGCACTTCAAGTCGTTCTTTACAAGAAAAATGTTTATTAATTCGTCCAAAAGTTACGAATGAAGCAAACGCGTAATTTTAGTGTTGAAGCATTTGGAGCAGTCCAGGGAAGGTTTAAATGATGAGAAATTATGGAAAATTTGAATGGAAAATCGAAATAGCAACAATTTTACTTTCTCATACAAACTGCACCTGTCAACCTGTCAACAGTGCCTGTGTAACTTGTCAAACATTTTATGCGTGCGTTCCGAAAATTTCTTTTTCTATGTGTTCTTCCCAAATTCCCTAGAAATAATTTATATGGTAAAAAAAAAAATTGTCGGGTCAGCTGGTGTAATGTGATGAAAGGAAAACATTTTTCTGCAAACACGTTCACATAAACAGGGTATTATTATTTTATTAAATCGACGCCAGACGAACCAAACCTGGCAGGGAGAAAACATGCTTAAGAGGTAAACAAATTGGTTTTGTAATTAAATAATAATTTAATACACATCTAAGGAATTAAGATGAGACGACTCTATGGAATTGTTTTTCTACCTTTTTAACCGTAAATGCTGGGCGAACGCATTTGGTTTTCTGAATTCTAGTTTGTTTTAGCGAGGAGTTCTTTGGCGTAACAGACTGTGTCATGTGTATAAAAATGGTATGTTTGTGGCGGCCCTAATGGCCAATTTTTGAATAAGCGATCAAAATGTTATAATTCTAAGGTCTCCGGTTCTGAACCTATAGCTTAATGATTCTTTGTTATTTTGAAAAAAGGAAAAATAAAATCTTATTGTATATAATGGATGTGTTGTTTGATTTCTTGTCATTGGATGCCCACGCTGATTTCTATTTATTTTATTTAATATTAAATATTTTAGCAATGCTGACAGCTAGAACAGTTATTAATTGATAAAATTTAACAAGATTATAGCCAT